AAAAACATTCCATCTCCTTACAACTTTATATTTACAAAACTGTATTCATATATAACTGAGTAAGTATTTTTATAAGATTTACGGAAAATCCATTGATCTGACCTCTTCAGAAAGGAATAATCTGATCCTATTAAACGGCAAAATACTCTTCAAAAGGGTATGTGGCGCCATTATGGTGCAGGGTCTTTAAATAAAAAACGCAATCCTAATAGTTAATAAAAACTATAAAGAATTTTATTTTGTGAATATGTAGATTGTAAGGCACTATACGATTTCGATCCGTTACAAAGATAACCTAAACCAAACATTTCATTCTTTTAAAAATATATATTTACCTCATTACCATATGCTCTCGAAACTTTGTTGTATGGAGAATAAAACCTGCTTCTATCACTCTGGAATCGACTAGGTAGGTATTTTGTCGTTCGCACAACTTTCAATGGACTTGATCGTAGGACTACTCGCTATCAGTTCAAACCTCAAGTCATAAACTTACTACACGCCCGCTGTACCAAGACCGAACAAAATTCTGGATTATTGAAGGTTTGCTCACCGACTCATCTGGCACAAATATTAGGAGTTGCAGAAAACTACCTTTATAGGTTGTCGGAATAAGAAGAAGAAACCCATGTACATACATGGTATTATGAATGCGACAAGAAAAAGTTTTATTCTCAAAACCGAAGAATTGCACATACAGCGAAGAATTTTACAGAAAATCCAAAATCACGGTTATGGAGATAAAATACAGAAATTTGATAAACGCGGTTCGAAAGGTTTCGTGACGCATATTCAGACCTACCTTCCCCCTTTTCTGCCAAATGTTAATCAGGAAGTAAAACCATGTTGAACTTAAATGTAAGCGTAATGCAAGCAAAATGTCTTGGGAGAGGCTGAGGCTACTACCCAGGTAGGTGTCCTCAACAGTAAGACTAGAAACCGTTCTGAACAATTCCCAACTGCCTTCTTAAAACCGCAATTGCCAAATGGAAAATATTAAAAATCCAGACCAGGTGGAATAACATCCCGGGACAATCACAGGCTACTTCGTTAATTAAGTCACGCCTAAGCTTACTATAGTATTCTTGCAATAAGGTGGAACAAAATTAAAAATTACTGCAGGCCTGTAAATCCGACATTACGCTAAAAAAATTGTGTATATCACAAAGCCAAAGATCTTGCATCAACTGGACTGCTCAATTTTGTTAAATGTTAAATCTCAGCTTATAAATCAATAACCACCATTTCATGATCTAGTTGACCACAATTGAAGAAATAGTACTGTGTAAATTATGATTTGAGTAGACTGTTTTATTTCTATTAGTCAGTCCATCCTTTTCAATTATTCTAACGTCTTTGCCATCGCTTCATCAACAAACACTACCATTTAGTTAATTAAGGTTTTTAGTTGAGATAAAAATCATCTCATTTGTCACCGAGAATCAAATAGATTACACGACATTTGAAAAAGGGCAAAAAGGAGGGAAAGTTCAAAAGGTGGGGTTGAGATGGGAAGTTAGTGTCCGAGTGGATCGAGGTCACGATAGCTCAAGTGGTAGAGCAGCGGCGTATTTAGCCGAAGATCGTGGGTTTGAATCCCGCTCGTGACACTGACTTTTTTATTTCAACTAAAAACCTTAATTATTTGAAAGATATTAATTGGTCAAGCGGACCACGAAAACTAGTGAACTACCATTTAGTTTTAAATATACAAAACCTACAAATACTACGTAATGTTACAAAATTCATGCCAACAACAACACAACGACCGCTAACAAAGGAGCCTGCATAATTTTTTTTTTCAAATGAAATGATTGATAGATGCTTAATAACGCAAAGTAAATCATATTTCAAGTTTTAGATGAATTTATTTGGTAGCAAGCGTTTTTCTTTCCTAATTTTTTAAATTCTACTTTTACTTCCTAGACTTCAATTTTGATACGTGTTTTCTGTTCAGGAGAAATTTTACTTTCTTTTGCAAGTATCCAACTCCGAAATCTCTTTTATTTCAGCAATTTTTCAAGATCAAAACGTCACAGGAACAATTTGCCAATTTTTTGTACAGTATTCATAAAATTATTTGGTTTATTACAAACAATATTTTTCCTAATTAATATTATTCTTGGTAATCTACCAATCAGCAGTTTGGATTTTAATAAAAAACTTTTAAGGGGGCGTCGGTGGCCGCAAGGTTTAGTCGTTGACACGGCGCTCATCACTGTAAGGTAAAGGTCCCGGGTTCGAATCCAGCGGTTCTGCATTCGAACTCAACATACTTACAAATGTTTGTTTTTTTTTCAAAAACACCGGCATCGTGAGGGTTTTTATGACCTCTGCTGTTGCGAACCCTCGTAAAAAAATGATAAAAAAAATAAAAAATAAAAAAAATAAAATAAAATAAAAAAACTTTTGGCAACAACCACTAACCAACTTACACCTAAGGTCCTGCTTAGGTTTTAAAAACGTGTCTCTACGATTCTTTGCTTATTATTACCCTATAAAACGCAAAATACGTTTCAATATAATATAATATCAATATAATATAAGTATACCGAAAGTTGAAAAAGTAAAAATTTTCTGGAGAAGCGATTTGCAGATCGAGCTCGAATGTCTCATAGAAAGTTACTAGACGATGTTCTAGTTAAAACAATGCAAAAGCTGATAATCCTCAAAGAACGTTAAGGATGGAGTATTACTAAGTTAATAATACCTGAATACGTGAGTGCCAACATTTTTAGAAGCACTTATGAAGCTCGAATTTTATGAAACTTGTTGCATTCAGTGCCAAAACGTATAAATCAATACAAAAAATATTTCGCTTATACAGATCTTCATCTGACCTGTCTTTAGTATTGACTCGTCATCATGGCATGGCCGACTCCTAACTTTAAGAATCCTTACAAGATACTACTCCTTCTGATTTCTGAGGCAATTAAAAGTCAGAAATCTCCTTGATTTGACCTCATTGTCTCGTAAACACCCAACCAACTTTTCCTAACTACCCTTTAAAATACAACTCTACGTACCACTCTGTTCTAGTCGCCATGAAAGTTTACCAAGGGTCGCGCAATCCCTAAACCAGACAAAACTCACCACCTTGGTATTCCTACAGCCCCATCAATTTATTGAAAATTCTTGGTAAGCCTTTTGAAAAACTCCTTTATAAACACATTTGGGATTAAAATTGCACGCATTCGTGGTGTGAACATCATCGTCTCCTATCTTGATAAAAAGAAATGCAGTCCGATTCTCCCTAGAAGTCATACAGGCTTTCTTTCAAATATGGTACCTGGATTTACCCTGAAAACTTGGCATCCTACCCATCACACTTCCTAGGTTTTAAGTTCTACCTAGGTGACAGATGCTTAGGGTATGTGTCGGATAATCTTACTATTTTGTATTAGGCACAGGCGTCCCTCACGTCCTACCTTCTGTTCGCAGTATATAATTTCCCTTCAATCCTTCTCCGTTTTAGCTCATTGGTGTCATCAGAAAGAACAATTGTTCAAAAAGTGCCAAATCAAACTCAAACCACCAAAATTCAAAACACGACCTCCGTCGCACACTCTAACTCTGATCTACTATAACCTCACCTAACGAAGACGCCATCTGCTTTCTTGAGCAGTATCGGGACTGACCTTGGATCCACATACACGACTTAAAATGAAAGAACTGAAACGTCGATACCGATTAATTAAAAAACGGCACATGGAGTACGGCTAAACCTGCCCCTTTGCAGGAAACAAACCCTTGAATCACGAATCCTTAAATCTAAATTCCAACTGTACCATCCCACCACTTAAATGTTCCCTTTGAAAAAAAAGTTCCTAGATCCAGCTACGCAAAATTCTGCACTAACCTTCAATCCCACTCGAATCACCTCTTACGAGAATTTTCCTCCCGATCCTATCCCAATGAAATTTCCTCGACGTCTAAAAGGACATTAAGGACCGATAGCTACTTCAGTCGATTTATTGTTTATTTTATTATAATTTATTTCGATGTGCTATGTGGTCTATATTGTACCTCATTCAGATTGTTCCTCTATGAATAAACAAATTACAAATAATTAAATAGATAAATGAAGTAGAAAATATTATTTCTCTAGGGGTTCAGTCTGTAAAAACCAAGTGATAATGGCACTTGAAACATGCGATATATGATTAATTTTGAACCCTTATCAGTAGATATATTCGACTGTATTTAAATGAAAATACACCCAAAACCTTTATCCGCAGTGCGCATGCGTGTAATTAAATTTTTTTACCTATAAGTTTCGTGATTGTCGTTCACAGACCCACTTTTCCTTGAGAATTCACGAGAAACAGAAATCTGCTTTTCATTGAGATAAAACAGAATTTAGCGGAGGACGAAGCAAAAGGAGAAAATTTACAAATTTTTTAAGATTACGTAGCAAGAAGTAAAATCGAAAATTTTCGAATTTTGTGAGAATATGTAGCAAGAAGTAAACTCGAAAATTTACAAATTTTTTGTGAGATTATGTAGCAAGAAGTAAAATTGAAAATTTACACATTTTGTGAGATTATGTAGCAAGAAGTAAAATCGAAAATCTACAAATTTTGTGAGATTATGTAACAAGAAATAAAAATCGAAAATTTTCAAATTTTGTGAGATTATGTAGCTATACATATAATTGAAAATTTACAAATGTTGTGAGATTATTATGTAACAAGAAATAAAAATCGAAAATGTACAAAATTTGTGAGATTATGTAGCAAGAAGTAAACCCGAAAATTTACAAATTTTGTGAGATTATGTAGCAAGAAGTAAAATTGAAACTTTACAGATTTTGTGAGATTATTAAGTAGAAAGAAATAAAATCAATCTTCAAGGCGTGGTTTTTTGGCGCCATTTGTCAAAATGTACAGAAATAAAGGAGAGAACGATAGTGTCGCAACATATCGCGCTAAGTATCATCCGGGATGGAAATTTATTTTAAAAAATAAATAAATATGTTATTAAATTCAAAAATTTCTTACCTCAGTTTAATCCAATCATTCCTTGCATAAACACAAGTTGGTACTGAGATAAGACTGGAACACCTGTTGTAGTGGGAGTCGCGGTCTGATTCCCACTCCTCTTCCTTCGCACCTCCTCCTCCTCGTTCGGGATGTTTTGGCCTCCCAGCTTCCGGAGAGGAAGAACCCGTCCTTGAACCTCCGGCTGTCCCGCCCGGAACTGGGACACGTTTGGCAGACGCCCATCGCACCGATTTCTCTGCCGGCTACGCCCTCCAAAACGATTTAGCCTTTTTGTTTACTCTCTCGCCAAAAAACCCGGAAGTTCTCAAGTTCTCCTTTAACCCAAACAACCAGAAATGTTATTTCTATTACGTTTTGCAAATTATGTGGAAATATTACGCACACATTTGTTTATGAGGTATTAAGTCGTCCCATAGAGGTTCCTGAAGAACTGAAGCAACAAAACAGCAAGAAATACTCTTCTGAAATAGGTGAAATATTATTTTAGTAAAGACCAAATTGATTTTTGTTTTTCATCTTAAAAATCCTTCCAAAACAAGTGTTACATACCCATTATGTGGCCAGTCACAAAGTTCAGTTACAAGAGTAAAGTTGGTAGTACTGTGCCACGGGTCTTACAGAGGAAGGGCCCAAAGCGGGAAGATTGGAGAATGCGATTTGGTTCGTGAGAGAATAAACCCAAAAAAAAATTTAAAAAGTGAAGTGAAATAATTTCAATAGGCGTTCTAGGCCCGGAGGTTACTTTCTATTTTCCTATTTTTAATTACAAATTTTACTATTTTAGATTTCATTCTGTTTTTATATAAAAAGAGATCATTTTAAGTTGTTTGTTTTAAAAAATGTAACATTAGATTATTTCGTTTCATTCTTCTTTTTTTCATTATTAACTTCGTTTAACACCAATAAATTACAAACTACGGCGAAGTACGTATCAGAGCGTGGTTCCGGCCATAATTCCGTTATTGCATAATTTGTTACAAAAAAAATCTCCTTAAAGACTTTTACTACTATTGTTTAAAATGTCTTCTCACGGTGATAGTGATTCAGAAAGAAACAGAAAATGTAACGCCGGCCGAAAATCGCGGTTTCCCATCTGAGGAATTTGTAAATTTAATTAAGACGAAGGTCAAACATGTAATTTCGTCAAGTCTGGGAAAATTCCCTAAGAAACACACCGATTCGCCGACATGTCATCAGAAATATTACCGGCGATTAAAACAAATAAAACTTACGCGATCGTAAAAGCCACCCCGATCAAAAACAAGGAAAGGATAGGGACAAATATCGCAAGTTCAGAGGAAGAGCAGGAAGAAAAGAAGCAGGATTTAGAACTTGCCCTTAAAAGGTTGTTTACCGTAAAAAAAAGGATCTAGATCAGAAAATGAAACTCATAAATACGGAGTACAACTTATCCCTAAATTTTCTTCTAGAGAATATGGCTTTGAAATAAATAAAGAAACTCTCAACACGATACGCAGGAATGGCACAATTACACAAAAGACAAACACTTTGAGCCCTGAAGATGATCTCAATAAAGATCGAAACGTTGGCACGATAGAGAAAATGTTTTTCTAAAACCTACATCGCACCAGACCGCATCTCACGATTTCTGAAAAATTAAATTAAAAAAGGCATCGTAACGAGCAGTTACAAGAAAAATTCATCAGAGTGACAAAACTACATAAATCATCTGTACATAAAATTAACCGACTACCAACATTAAAACTAAATAACCCAGAATCTATATTGAAATTCTTAGGGGCAATCCGACCGCTTTTAAGTCAATACAAATCCCTAACCTCGAAAATACTATTTGTAATATCTCAGAACGCGAAGCGCGTCTCAGATTTTGAAAACTAGGCTAGGCAAAAAAATATTTCGTATAAAACGTTAAGATTCCTTTTTCCGGTACCATATACCACAACAAGCTATTCAGCTTAAGTCTAAACTTCTTTTTTAGCCATACTCTAATGAAGAGTTATTAAGAGACAAATCCATATTAATACAGTTAAAAAATTATAGAGGAAATCCCTAAAATCGAATTAATTATGAGGAAAAAAGACATAGTCCCTTCAATTTTAGTTCGTCGTATAGCGATCCATTCCAAAATCCTTATCCAAACCGCCCAGCGGAGATCGAGGCAAAAAGTTTATTATCAAAATCAGGATAGAATATAATGATGATAGAGTCTATCTAGCTACTCATCATCTTATCGTCCTATTTATTACACTTCTACATTGCTCAAAAATTCACTAGTTTTCGTGGTCCGCTTGGCCAATTAATATCTTTCAATTAATTAAAGTTTTTAGTTGTGATAAAAAAGTCAATATCACGAGCGGGATTATTCAACAAATTAATTTACAAAAGAATTATCTTTATTACTAGTTCAAACATCTTTCCATATAATCAGTTCACACCTTTCCACAACTCATCAACTTCACATAGTTACAAATTTCGTTACTTCATGTCTCGAGCAGAAATTGTACGCATCTGGATTGTTAGTAGATATTTCTCAGACCTTCGACAAAGTTTAGCATGAGGGATTATTATACAAATTAAAATTATTTTTACCACAGATGTAATAACTAATTATATAATCATACCTTAAGGAGAGATTTTTCTCAGTAAACCAGGGATCAGAGGCTTCTGAGATGGAAGAAGTGCTTGCAGGTGTGCCACAAGGGTCAATACTTGCTCCGCTATTGTACACAATTTTACTTCTATTTATTCTATGTCCATAAATAAGAATGCACTTACTGCTACATACGCAGATGGCACCGCCATATTAACAAGTCATCTCTCTTCTACACAAGCTTCACTCGTGTTACAAAACCATATATAAAAAATTGGATTTTTGGAAAATAAAGTTTAACTCCTCGAAGTGAGAACATATCACCTTTACACTCCATCGTGAGATTTGTCCTAGCATCTAATTCACAATGAACCTGTTCTACAATCCGACAAAGTTAACTATTCAGTTCTTACATCTGATAGAAGATTAACTTGGAATGCACACACAGAATTAAAAAGACAGACATTCAAAAAACAATTTAAAATGCTTTATTACCTACTTAACCGGCAATCAAAATTACCATTAAAATCAAAACTTTCAACATACATATAATTATTCAAACCTATTTGGCTGTACGGATGCCAAGTTTATGGATCGGCCAAATAATCCAAAATTCAAAGATTGCAAAGTTTCCAATCCAAAATTTAAGGCTAATTATTTTTGCCCTTTTTTATATAAACAATAACACACTTCACAGAGATCTTCATATGCCAACAGTTTTTTCAAATATATTCTTCATATGCCAACAGTTTTTTCAAATATATTACGGTTTTCATAGTAAATTACAAAATCACACCAACACACAAATACGATTACTTCATTCCCCACAATTACCACGTAAGCGACTGAAAAGAATATGAATAAGAGACCTCTTAAATGATTAATATAATTTTATTAATGGGTAGCTTTCTCTATAACGCCCCGTAATGCCACAATCATAAATTGGAATCCATTCTCTGATTGAAGATAAAAATAAATGAAGACAAAAAAAATCACTGTATACAAATTTTGGCGAAAATAAAAAATATTTGTCTCTACCAATTTTCTCCTTCTAAATGTCTCCGATTTTTCTTCTGAGATCACAAAAAATGATAAATTTCAAGAAACCTTACAGGAGGTTAGAAGCTTATAAACTACAAGTAATGACATACACAGAATTTTTGTAAATAAATATAAACTTAAGAAATAAATTACAATTAATTAAGGTTTTTAGTTGAGTTGAAAAAAAGTTAATGGCACGAGCGGGATTCGAACACACGACCTTCGGCCAGATACGCCGCTGCTCTACCACTTGAGCTATCGTAACTTCGATCCACTCGGACACTAACTTCCCATCTCAACCCCACCTTTTGAATTTTCCCTCCTTTTTGCCATTTTTCAAATATCGTGTAATCGGGTGTAATCCCGAAGATCGTGGGTTCGAATCCCACTCGTGCCATTAACTTTTTTTCAACTCAACTAAAAACCGTAATTAATTGTAATGTATTAATTGGTCAAGCGGACCACGAAATTAGTGAATTTAAGAAATAAAATACAACGTTTGACAGTTTTCGTTGGTTGAATCATTATTTTTCTCTCTTGGAGTGAGATAAAATCGAACTATTCCTAACACAGTCTAATAAGAAAAATACAGCCTCTCAACCAATACAATAACGTTGATTTTGAATAAAATCCTGAGAAGTTATGAATTTTTTAATAAAAAAAAAAGACACGAGACAAAAATCTAGACGATTGATCCCAAAAATGATATTTTTTTTCAATGAAAATTCATATTTAAGGGATTTAAAAAGGGAATCGAATTATTTTGTTATTACAACACTTTTTTGCCCTAGATTACGGAATGTGTTTTTTGGTTGTCCTGTTTTTGGCCTGTAATTTTTTTTTAAATCACAAAAATAGTGTTAACTTTGAAACAAGTCATGTGATTTTCAAGAAACATTACAGGAGATTATAAGCTTATAAACTGCGAGTAATGACAGAATTTTCGTAAATAAATGTAAACATGAGATAAAAAATACAACGTTTGATAATTTTTGTTGGTTGAATCATTATTTTTCACTCTTACAGAAAGATTAAATGGAACTATTCCTAACACAGTCTAATAAGAAAAATACAGTTTCCCAACCAATATAATAAGTTTGAATAAAATATGGATTTTTCAGTGAAAAAGAAGACAGGAGACAAAAACCTAGACGATTGATACCAAAAATGTGAATATTTTCTGTTCACTATAAAAATTCATATTTTCAGAGAATTAAAAGAAATGGAATTATTTTTTAATAACAACACTTTTTTGGTTCTCCTATTTTCGGCCCCCAATTTTATTGAAAATCACAAAAATAGTGATAACTTTGAAACATGTCGTGTGATTTTGAAAAAACTTTTATAGTCTAGAAGTAACACATGAAATCTCCCTAAATAAATATAAACTTGAGATAAAAGTAAAACTTATGAGATGATTTGTTGATTTCGTTATTATTTTTCTAACCTAAAATTAGAAATATGACAACATAAAATCAAATTATTTCTAAAAATACAGCTTTCCAACATATGTAATAACTTCAAATTCACGAGTTTCGAGGTCCGCTTGAAAAATGATAAAAAGGAGGGAAAATTCAAAAGGTGGGGTTGAGATGGAAAGTTAGTGTCCGAGTGGATTGAGGTCACGATGGCTCAAGTGGTAGAGCAGCGGCATATCTAGCCGAAGATCGTGGGTTCGAATCCCGCTCCTGACACTGACTTTTTTATCTCAACTTAAAACCTTAATTAATTGAATAAAGAAATACTTTTTTAAAGGGGTAAAATTTGATCAAAAAATTATATTTTGCAAATCTTATCAAATCCCTATAATTAAAAATCTCCTAATTTAAAAATATCCTTTTTCTCAACTATGTAAAACATAATTTGATTTGTAACAATAAGCCAAATAAAATTTGAGGAAATAGTACTAAAAAATAACAACTTTTTGGTTTATCTTTGAACAAATAAATGAGAATGAAAAAATGGCTAAAGGNTAGCTAATCTTATTTAATACGGTACAACATATTTTTTTCTTATCCTACGTTTTATGAAACAAATAACCTTGATGTACCTGCACAACAAATATATTTAAAATATTTTTTTCTAGGCTCCTACGGCTCTGTGGCAAGAACGCTTGGAAACAAGTCCAATAATTTTTGGCCTAGGTATTTCCCCGGTTTCATTAAAATCGATGACCCAGAAGAATTTAAAGACAGCCTTATTACTTCTAATAGAAAAAAACAAGGAATGATTAAAAATATGAAAACGTGTTATTTTCTTCACGTACATGATGGGGAAGCTTTTTTATTATTATTTTTCTGGGCGTTATATTGTCTGATTATTATTATTTTATATTTCAATAGTTAACTTATTATTTTGAGTTTATACATCATAATTAAATAAAAATAATGCTTTGTTTAGAACGCAATTAATTCCTTTTCTTCCTAAATGAAGACCGAATAACAACGAATCAGTGCACTGAATATATAATAAAAAGTCTCTTTACTGTATAATTAATTTATTTTTCGTTAATTACATTCGACTGGAGAAAGAACATTGCACGTTTCAGTACGTAATGTTATATACATTTCCATTCAAGAAATGTCATCTGGAATGTCTGTCTATTTAGAAAATGGACGTCACGGTGATTTACTCTCTTACGAAAAATTAGGCCACTTGTTCCTTTTCTTTCCGATTCCGTCGTGTATCGGTGTCGAGAAACGGTGATGCGGTCCGTCTATTTTTAATTTGGTATTCCAATTTTCAGACCGCATAGGTTTTTTGACCGTCTAATATTTTTCCGCTGATTCGATTTCATTACAGAACGGAAATATTTTACTCCCGTTTGAAACGGTAAAAACACAAGAATTGTAATAACGAAAAAATTCTTTTCTTACGGCATTCCATTCAAGAACGTGTCTTACAAAATACAATCCATCTCTGTTCTAGCTAACTTAAACATTTAAAAATATAGATTATATGGATCCACTGGGACACTAACTTCCCATCTCAACCCCACCTTTTGAATTTTATCTAAAACGTTATTCACAATCATTTTAAGCACCTTTTGAACCGCTAAATAAGAATTTTTATGATAAAAAATACACAATTTGAATTCAATTAGCATAAAGCTTTTCTCTTATAACTGTTTTGTTCTCTTAAAAATTCATAATTTTGGATTATATCGAAATAAATTGTTATTACATATTTTACAATTAGTTAAGGTTTTTAGTCGAGATAAAAGAGTCAGTGTCACGAGCGGGATTCGAACCCAATCTTCGGTTAGATACGCCGCTGCTCGACTAAATCCACTAGGACACTAACTTCCCATCTCAACCCCAACTTTTGAATTTTCCCTCCTTTTGGTCATTTTTCTTTTGTTAAATCATCGTAATAATCACTTATAAAAATAATAAATATATGTCTTTTAAAAACAAAAAACATCCAATAATTCCATCGAAGCCAATGTGAAAGCTTAATTTTAAAAAAACAAAAAATTTCAATTAATTAATCTGATCTTAGGTATTGGTTGAGATTAAAAAAGTCAGTGTCACGAGCGGGATTCGAACCCACGAACTACGGCTAGTTACGCCGTTGCTCTACCACTTGAGCTATCGTGACTTCGATCCACTCGGACACTAACTTCCCACCTCAACCCCACCTTTTCAATTTTCCCTCCTTTTTGCCAAAATTCAAAAGGTGGGGTTGAGATGGGAACTTAGTGTCCGAGTGGATCGCAGTCACGATAGCACAAGTGGTAGAGCAACGGCGTATTTAGCAGCATATGGTTAAGTTTTATTAGGTTTCGTGGTCCGCGGGACCAAATAAATTCTTTTCAGTTAATTAAGGTTTTTGGCTGAGATAAAAAATGTGTCACAAGCGGGATTCGAACCCACGATCTTCGGCTAGATACGCGACTACTCCACCACCTGAGCTATCGTGACTTCGATCCACTCGGACACTAACTTCCCATCTCAACCCCACCTTTTGAATTTTCCCTCCTTTTTGCCATTTTTCAATGGAATTCCATTTTTTGAGATGGGAAGTTGGTCAAGCTTGGTTATAAGTTGGCTGATGGTCTCAAGTGGTTAGAGCAGCGGTACGGTCGTGGGTACGAATCCCGCTCGAGTCACTCATTTTTCATATCAACAAAAAACATTAGATAAAAGGAATTATTCATTAGAATATTTAATACAGTTAGTTAATTAATACATTTCATGAAATTTTCTCCCACTTTTGCCTAGAAATATCTCTATTGTGATATTTTTTGTCGTTCATGTCCCACAAACACGGATTCTCTAGACTAATCAGTTTATCCATGGTGAAATACCAACACTGTCTAAATTGAACGCCAGAACGCACGAAAAAATCAAACTGGTATGAACTTTCGAATGGTTATGACTACATCGCGCGTGTTCTGACATGCACTTCGCTGCCAAAATAAACACTCTCATTGAAAAACAAGTATTTTTTGGTTCAGACAAACTCATCAGAACAAAATTTCGTCAGAATTCGCATCCAAAATAATCGTAGGTGAACCTGTATAGTCTCGGAATCGTACCTCAGAAAACAATAGATTGGATTATTCATTCTATCATCTTTTTTCCCTCCAAAATTATTCCATCTTATTATTTTTAAATATAGACAGTTTACCTCAGAAACCGACAGATAGGGCTATTAATAACCTTTGTCCAAAAATCGATTATTATCTTTTTTCCATCATGTGTAACAAGGTATAGTCTTCTTGTTTCAATTATCACATTTGCTTGTTGCGATTAAAAATGCATAATAAACATACAAAATTTATTTAATAAATAAATGTAGAAATAGCATCTCATAAAAAATCGAACAGTTTAAACCACGTTCGTTGTCGAGAAGTGAGCTTAAAAAGCAAGATAATTGCTCAATTATGCCTCTTATCTCCGGAACTTATTAAAACCATAGATTGAAATAGCAGGGCATAAAAATTCCTCGTCGTTTTTATTCGCCCTTTTATGTTTGCGATCCCTTAGTCAGTGTTCAACAAACACGGGCGTAATTCCGCGCTGAGATTAGGAAAGCGGTGGTGTTGACTGAAGAGAGGCGAAACGAGGTTGGCGATAAATGTTATCTTCTTTAAATATCTGTCCATTGCCTTCTTAAGGCGCTGTACCACTTTGTTTAAGATTAAATAAAACGCCTTTATTGTCTTTTCTTTATTATTGCTTAGGTAATGCAAGACTTTGCCCATCAGACGGGGGGGGCGAAATGGGCAACGACGACTCGGCAATTAGGCATTACAAACGTTGAGATTCATTATTCAACAAGAGCCGTTGTCGGCTAATGGCTTTTTATACGACACTTCGCTCGGATTTTAAGTTAAATTAACTTCAATAAAATTTGTATAGGGACGATTTTTCGGAATTACAAGAAGAATGATTACTGTGAAGGATGTTTCACCCTAATGCGATAAAAACGGATAACAATCTTGGGGGGGGGGGAATTAGGGGTATTCACGATCTTTGTGTTAACCCTGTTAAGTCTGTTAGGTCCTTTAAGATCGAGAAAAATGATGACGTAGACTTGTAAGAATCAGATAGTTAACATTGCTCGATCTAACAGGCAGGGGCCAATGTTAGATGTTAGGTCGAAAATGTAGTCACATTGCTATCCGTTAGGGCGTAGGTAACCAAAATGGCAGCCATGAATTTAACAGCTTTTTTTTTGTTTACACGTATTTTTATTCATAAATACGCCTTAATTAAATCAGATCAATACATTTCTTTTGTTAATTTCTGAATTGTCCTTACACTCTCATTCATAATAGATACATCATGCAACATGTTAAAATTCAATTTGTTACTGATTAAACATGGAAAAGTACATAATTACAAATTAAAATACAAAATATAGTGAAAAGAGAGAAATACTAAAAAATTAACAAATACATAGGTCAGACAGGCAAAAAAAGACATATAAGACCTTTCGGAGACCATGACAAACAATCAACTTTCTTTCACAATAACCTCAACAAACAAGCATGACACGTTGTAGAAAATGGATGAACGACCCAGAGTGCACAGTTTAATCAATTACAGACGGGTGTCTACTAGTTCTATAATAATATAAATGATTTTATAAATCGTTTATCCTAATCTTGAACACTAATAGGTATATTCAGATTTTATTTAAGAAAAAAGTGAAAAATAAAACAATTTTTTAAAGGTATGACAGCTTTTTAACAAAACCAACTTTTCAACTAACATCATTTCGACTATTCAACTTTTATTTAAGAACAATTTGTGAAAAATAAAACAATATTTTAAGGGTATGACAGCTTGTATGACAACAAAAGCAATATTTCACCAATATTAAGGGTATTCACGATCTTTTTGTTAACCCTGTTAACTGTTAAGTCGTGCTAGATCGAGAAAAATGGCTTAGACTTGTAAGAATCGGCTAGTTAACACTGCTCGATCTAACAGGCCAAAGCCAATGTTAGATGTAAGGTCGAAAATGTAGTCACGATGCTATCCGTTAGGGCGTAGGTAACCAATATGGCAGCATGGTAACCACCATTTAACACCTGTTTTTTGTTTACACGTGTTTTTATTCTTAAATACGCATTAATTAAATCAGACCAATACATTTCTGTCGTTAATTTCTGACCTGTTCTGACTAAATTCAAAAGGTGGGGTTGAGCTGGGAAGTTAGTGTCCGAGTGGATCGACGTCACGATAGCTCAAGTGGTAGAACAGCGGCGTATCTAGCCGAAGATCGTGGGTTCGAATCTCGCTCGTGACACTGTTTATCTCAACTAAAAACCTTAATTAATTGAATGTTAATAAATAAATTAATTTGATAAATTAAATTCACTAATTTCGTGGTCCGCTTGACCAATTAATACATTACAATTAATTAAGGTTTTTAATTGAGATGAAAAAAAGTTAATGGCACGAGCAGGATTCGAACCCACGATCAACACTATCTCAACCCCACCTTATGAGTTTTCCCTCCTTTTTGCCATTCATAAGGTGGGGTTGAGATGGGAAGTTGATGTCCGAGTGGATCGAGGTCACGATAGCTCAGGTGGTAGAGCAACGGCGTATCTAGCCGAAGATCGTGGGTTCGAATCCCGCTCGTGACACTGACTTTTTTGTCTCAACTAAAAACCTTAATTAATTGTAATGTATTATTTGATAAATGTTATTAGGTTTTTATTAAGGCAGAAAACCATGGGTTGTGGAGGCAATGAAATTATCAGGAATAGTTATTTTGGACTAACAACTCTTAAGTGATGTCTACCGATCCGAGGGATGGCAGATCCAGTGTCCAGGGGGCAGGGGTGGCAAGGTAACGGAACGAACGCCCAGGACCAGTTCTAATCATAAATGATTCCATCAAGAAATCCGCTGATGATCCTTTGATGAACCAAAGCTTTCAGTTTCCTGGGAAAGTATGGTTGCAAAGCTGAAACTTGAAGGAATTGATGGATGTGCACCACCAGATATGAAGCCTGGGGCTTAATTTGACTCAAAACGGGAAACCTGAACAGGACATTGGAATGATTGACAGATTGATTCAGTGGGTGCATGGAACTTAGTTTGTGGAACGATTTGTCTGGTTAGTTCTGATAACGAATGAGACTCTAGCCTAGTAAACTAGACTCGTTTGGTATCGAATCTACCGCAAATTTAAAGAATTTGAGTTATTTTTATATAATTTTTAATTCACTAATTTCGTGGTCCGCTTGACCAATTATATAATTTTTAATTTTAATCCCAATTAACTTTTATACGATATTTAAGACCCAATTATTTTAACTTTTTCAAATGCAGGGGTTTTAATTTATCTGCTTACATTTCATACAATCTAGAGTTCTTTCCTACCATCTCGTAGGTTTTTTCTTTTTTTTTTTTGTAATTTGAAATTAAATTCAGTTAATTTAAAGTTAGAAACTATTACTTTGAATGTAAAAGTAGTTAATTTTTAAATGATTTGAGTAATTGATTTGTAAGCAAAATGTGTTAATTGGAAATGTAAAAAGTTTGACATTTAAAAGAGTTAATTTGAACAAAACATGTGTTAATTTAACGGGGAAAAAAGGCTAATTTGACGAAAAAACGCTATTTGATAGTTTGATTATTTCTTACGTGTGTGGTTATTAGTGACCCTTAATCGATATTTATTTAGAAATCGTGAGATGCGGTCGGGTGTGATGTAGGTTTCAGAAAAACATTTTCTTTATCTTGCCTACGTTTCGATCTTTATTGAGATCATCTTCAGGNTTTTTTTAAATTTAGAGTTATTTAAGTCTTCTTTCAATTTTCAATTAACAACGATAAAAAGTTGATTCATGTATAGATATATTTGGGAAGTTTCGTAGGATATATAGTGTGTGCCATAACATCCTAAATGATATATTGCCGTCACGAAAAATCTAGCTTTAGCACGTTTAGCATAAGTAGGAAAATTGAAATATTCGCCGACTTAATTAAGGAGAGATTGACCCTACAACTTGAGCTTAGCGTGAACCCTATTTCCCTTCTGGCTTACTCTGGCCTTATTAATTACTTCAAAGTTCTTCGGCAACTTATAACAAAGCCGGGTACAATTAATTTTGTCCTTTAAAAGTTCATACC